ATTATTATTATTATTATTATTATTATTATTATTATTATTATTATTATATTTTATTAACGCTGTATCCCGCTCCCTTATTCCCTCCCAATCCCACTCTCCCTCCCTCAGCTTCTCCCTTTCCAAGTCCACAGATTGGGGAGGACCTCCTCCTCTTAATCTCCCAATAGCCTGCCTGCAGGGGCACCTCCTCCTGTCGTCCTTCCGCTCCGAGGGCTCTCTCTGGATGCTGAGCCTGGCCCACCTAGCTCTTCCCTGCTGCTCCTGTCAGCCTGGCCGCCCTGTGTCATCAGAAGCGCTCTCTGCCAGGGAGCCCACGGCCACAGCACTTGCATAGGGTCCAACATAGACAACAGCAACCAAACAAGTGTTTATAAATATGCTATTGTATAGATAACATATTTATACATATTTGGTAATAATACCTCTTGCTACCTTCTTTGCTGATTATATTTATTTATTGTTTGTTTGTTTTAAACAGGTCTCTCTTTGTAGCCTTGGCTGTCCTGGAACTCCCTATGTAGACCAGGCTGGCCTTGAAGTCACAAAGGATTTTAGGCATATGGAGATGCTAACTTTAATCACTGTATTGTTTCTGGGTCTTTTTGTAGTGGTTGATTTTTCTGCCTGTTATAAGTTGTGCGTTCCCATTCCTTACATGCCTGGCAAAGTTTGATTGGCTTTTTAGACATTGGTTATTTTATATATTCTTAATCATGTATTTTTTTTAAATATTTATTTTATTTTTGTGTATATGAGTATTTTTGCCTTCATGTATGTCTGTGTACCATATGCATGCCTGGTACCCGAGGAGGTCAGAAGAGGGCGTTGGATCCCGTGGAACTAAAGTTATAAACAATTGTGAGCTGCCATGAGGTTGGGAATTGAATCCAGATCCTCTGGAAGAGCAGCCAGTGCTCTAAACAACTGAGCCATCTCTCTGGACTTTACAGATACTTTAAAAAAAAAAAAAAAAAAAAAGAAAAAGAAAGAAAGAAAATCTTTAAGTTGCAATTAGTTGAATCTGTAGCTATACACTTAAGGGATGGCTCTCTTTGGAAAAAATATTTAAAGGAATTCCTTATACTAGGTTTATGGTTTGCCAGCCCTCCTTGAGATGACAGTTATTTGCCTGTAGTCTGTACATACACAGCAGCTCTATTATGATCATTCCTCCATGACAGACAGAATTTTAGAGACCCTCTAGGGGATATAGGACTATTTTTGATAATTTGCAAATTTATTAAAGTAGAAAAACATTTGTGTTCTTTCTTTTCTGATAAATTTGTCTAATCTCCATTCTGATTTTGACTACTCAACTCTCATTTGAGATAGTGAAAAATTCCTAGAACCTAAATAGGCTAACCAGAAAAACTACATCTCTGGCACTGCATACCAAGACTGTCCTTAGTGTCTACTCAGCAGAGCAAGTCACTCTCCACTCCTTCGCCTTGCAATGCACCCACACATAGAGACTTCTGATTCTGGGAAGTTAGGAGAGCCTGTTGGCTGCTGATTTTGTTTATGACGTTGTGTCTTAAGTAATAACTCATTTTCAGTTTCCTGGTCTTAACCTGTTCTTTCTCTAGTGTCACTTAAAGGTGGTATCTATGTTTTGCTTTTATCAATAGGAGGGGAAGACAAGACTGAGACCAGTCAGCAGTTAAGCCTAGAGTCTATGGAACTTGAAGAGCTGTCCCTGGAAACATACTCCATTGCTGCACCCCTCGTCCATTCCTCTGAAAAATCTGAGGATGATGTTGGAATACAGGACAGGAAAATGTCAGGCGGAACTCTGACTTGCAAGACCAAGCTTATAAGCCTCTTGGTCACCATTGAAAACCAAACTCCATTAGAAGAACTGTCTCAGTGTTTAGGAGTCAGAACACTTTCTGATATTATTCAAGTTCCCTGGGAAGAAGCCAGTAATGTGTACAAGTGTCCCGACTGCGACCAAAGCTTCAGTGATAATACGTACCTTGTTTTGCATCAGAAGATTCATTCAAGAGAGAAAAGGTATAAATGTAGTACCTGTGAGAAGACCTTCAGTCACAGAACCAGCCTGAGGACGCACAGGAGGATCCACACTGGGGAGAAGCCTTACAAGTGTGCCAAGTGTGCCGCCACCTTCCGGCAGCACTCACACCTGTCCCGGCACATGCATAGCCATATAAAGGAGAAACCATATACATGTAGTGTATGTGGGAGAGGTTTTATGTGGCTCCCAGCTTTGGCAGAACATCAGAAGAGTCATACTGATAAAAAACCTTATGAATGTGCTGACCGAGATCAACACTTTTGTCAGGAAACAAACCTGGCTTTGCCTAATAAAACAGGCTCACCAGACACCCCATACCAGCACCCACATTATGTGAAGAGCTTGGAGCAGCCCTCATACCCTGCTGTCCCTGAGAAGGACCCTGAGGAGGACTCTAAACACTGCAGTATTGATGATGAAGACTTTTTTTCGTTCTCCAGATTCAAACCCTTACAATGTCTTGATTGTGACATGACCTTTCCTTGTTTCTCAGAGCTTGTTTCTCATCAAACCGTTCATGACATGGAAAAACTTCATAAGTGCAAAACATGTGCAAAATCTTTTGCTTTAGATTCAGAACTTGCATCCCACGAGAAGACCCACATTAGAGAAGAACCTTTTAAATGTACGGTGTGTGGGAAGAGCTTCAGAGTGAATATGCAGCTCATCACTCATAAACGAACCCATAGGCGAAACACCAAGTAAATAAAAGCTTTTGCTACTATGTGGGCTTTTCAGTATCTGTATGAGGGTAAACGCTGCTTATGTGCGGGGCACTGTGCTAAGTAAGCACTTTACGTACATTCCATGTAATGTAGGCAGTATTATTTATTACATCTGATTTAGAACTGAGGAGATATAATCAGTATTACATGGATAGCATATGAAATCAGGACTTTAACTCAGTTACTGGTCAGACTCCATTTGCTTTAGGTTTTAAAGAAACAGAAAACTTCTTTAAAATTCAGTTTTTGACTCCTGATGTGGTGGCGCACGCCTTTAATCCCAGCACTCAGGCAGCAGAGACAGGAGGCTCTCTGTGATATCGAGACCAGCCTGGTATACATACTGAATTTCAGTCTCACCAAGGCTACATAGTAGGACTCTGTCTCAAAAAATCAAAATAATTGAGTTTTTGTTAAAATGAAGGTTATTGCTATACTTTTTTTAAATGTGGTTTCTAAGAATAGTTTAGGAAGAGAAAATTTTATTTTTATTTTTGCCAGTTGTACACATGTAATGTCTAGGAAAATGAATATTTTTATACTTTTTGTTAAAACTATTTCAGTGTAATGTCTGTATGGGATTTTTTAAATGTGAATTTCTAGTATAGGATTTCATATAAAGTTAACAAATGGGCCAACCTTTTTTTTTTTTAAGTATGTGTGTGTGTGGAGGGGGCATCTTGCTGTGGAGCCCAGCTGACCTCAAAATCATTAGTGCCCTGTTTCCAGCTCCCAAGTGCCTGGATTACTTGTACATACTGTCACATCCAGCTAGTTAACTGCTTGATGGCAGTATCCATGGATCCCCACTTTGAGAGCTGATGGCAGTGAAGAGGTTAGACTTCTGGATGCGGGGAGAGTGCTTGTCCTCTGTAAGGTGAGGTGCCCCCGATCTCTACCGAAGCACACTCCTGGCTGGTTACGAATAATTAGAACTACTTTTTAGAAAGCATGCTAAATGCTGTGGGTATATTATTTTGTTTAATCTTCAAAAAATATCTGAGAGAAGGGACTGTCCATGTTTTATAAATAAACTGAAGCTTTCTGAGAGTCATACAAAGCATTACACTGTGATGAGGTTGACATCTGAATTCAGATGTTTGTAACTCTTAAGGCTATGTGTTTGCGACACTGCACTATCAGCACTTGTGTCCCATGTTCAGATGAGGCTGGGAGAAGGAAGGGAGAGACAGTCATCATGGAGGCTGGCCTGGGACTTAGTAACTGAAGTCCTTAGTTTTATCCAAAACTATCTCATTACTCTTAAAAAGCAAGAAGTTTCTCTACGGCTTCCCACTTGAATTCCTTGTCACTATATTAAACCAGAGGATTTTTTTTTAAATTAATTTGTAACATTTCCTATCTCTCTCCAAAGAAAAATACATAATGTTGAGTTTTAACCAAAATAATTGATAACATATATGCCTTTAAGTACTGGTGTTACAGATAAATATTAGAACAAAACATCATTATATATAGTTTTAAAAAGAACAAAAAATGTAAGTCTACATTCATATAGAACTACAGTTCACAACAAAGTAATATATCAGTAAAACTAGCTATATGGTCTTTTGGTTGGTATACAAGGATGATTTCATTCTGTTTAAATAGCCTATAAAAATACAGTATTTACTAAAATAGAATTACTGCTGGGAAATTTCATAAACAAAAATAAAGCCCTCTTGAAGGCCAGTGGCTGAAATATAATACCTAGGCAGTGTCCCTTCTACAGAAGAGCAGATTGAGAAAAAGATGCCAGCCAAGCAACTAAGCTCTTAATGTTTACTAGAGACAGGAAGACCATACTCACTGAGAGACTGAAGTCAACAGGCTTGCCTTGTGTTGTTCCTCTCCTGGCTGTCTTTCCTGGCTGTCGACCCTCTCCTAGTAATAGATCACTATTTCAGCTGACCCACAGTTGAGGCCATATGGCCTGTATATCAAGGTCAGGGTTGGCTGTTTCCCCACATTTAGGATCTAAAGCATCATTCTGTCAGGGAGCTGGGGGTCTTACACTTAAAATGGTCTTTAGGTCTCTTCAGCCTTTTGTCAGAGGTGCTTTGAATTATGTAGTCTCTAGTCTCAAGTCTTGAATACAATGGTTGCTAAACAGCAAGAAGAGCATTAGCTTCCCATATTCTTGCTTCTCAGAGGGAGGAACTGATATGGTGCCTCACAGGCTCTAACGTTTTAGTGAAGACAAGATTTGAAGGATGGGGAGTGAACCTGGAAAAGAGGCCCCTACTAATAGAGTTAGTACAGAAAGAGAAAAGAGGAAATATGTTAGAAGGTATAAAAGGTGGCTGATATAAAAGATGGAAATTGTCATTATCACTTTTTTTTTTTTTTTTTAAGACAGGGTTTCTCTGTGTAGCCCTGACTGTCCTTGACCTGGCTCTGTAGACCATGCTGGCTTCGAACTCATACACTGCCTGTGCACTGCTGTACATCTTAACATGGAAATTCACAATTTACCTTTCAGTGTTTGTAGTTTTCTGCATCCTCCAGATTTTGAAAGACTACCCACAAAAGATTAGAAAAAAGGGACTTTTACAAAAGTCATCAATATATGTGAGAGTAATTAAATAGCCTTTGGTATAATATTACTGGTGATTGGTATGCAGAAAAAAGGAAAAATTATATGTCAGTTACTGTGAAATAAGCATATATCTAGTTACTTTCTTATTGTGAACTTGTTCCTAAAAACATTAATTGTATGTTATTCTCGAGCTGCTCTGCCCCAAGGAGTTGAAGGAAAAGCTGTATCTACCAGTAGTATTTGAGCTACGTTTATAATAATGACCTTTCCATCCTCCTAATAATATTGACAACTGGAGTAGGATTCCATATGATTGCTCGTAAGTGGTAATATTAGCAAATCATGTTAGGTGCTAACAACAGCTACTGGGTACAGTCAATGCAGGGTAAAAAGAACGTAAGAGTCTGCTGCTGTGAGTGGTTAGGTAATGGTTAGCTAACTACGTGTTGTAGGAGGGGTGTGGACACGAAGTGTGGAACTCGGACTCTGTGAGTTTTGTTGATGCCATGATAAAAATGTGAATTAAACTGTTTCTTAACAAGACTACGGGAATACCAGGTTATGTTAAACTGTCATCACTGATGACAGCAGCATTTCCCAATGGAATTTAGATGCTAGTATTTAAGAAATATCACATTTTGTTGTTGAAAGAGTTGAACTTAAACTAGTTTTGTCTAGAATTGTGCTGCTACAAAAAATTTGCCCATATATTCTTGTAACACTGAAAACAGCCAGCCCAGGAACTCAGGCAGTTAAAACAAATGACATTTTGTCTTTGATACCTAAAGTTCCATAAAATTAATTAGCAGTGTTCTGGTGAGTGTAATGTAAGCTGTCAAACAATCTGAAAATACAGATTTTGCTTTAAATAATCTGTAATTTACTGTCTATGTATTCAAAGGGAGGTGTAGGTGATAGCTATATAAAAAGATCCTATTTTGAATGACTTTTGCTTTGACTTTTTGTTAAAAAGGTACAAGATGCTTACTGTGTGTATATTTAACTGTTTTAGTTTTGTATCTTAGAGCTATTTATGTGACAGTGATACAAAAATGACCATTACCTGTCTTTCCAAGGACTGGCTAACTACAGGTGTTTTGTGTCTTCAAACTGAGATACCTGTCTGCATGAATGGTCTAAGTGAAAGGGGATACAGCATATCTATTTAACCCTAGGACTGTTTTACCATGTCTAGGTTATGTTGATGCTAGTTTTCTGTATGCACTTCTGCTCGTTTACCATTTCAGCGTTACTGGTTTTGATGCATTCTCATCGGTCTTGGCTCTAGACTGCAATCTCTCAACTGTGAATATATGTGCAATTTATCATCTAATAAATGTTATTTTATTGTGATGGCAAAGTGGTGAGCTTTTAAAATGTAGACTTCAATGATTCGGGGTTACAGTAAGGTAAATTTGAAACAACTGGTTGAATAATGGTTTAGAGAACGAGATCGAATGACTTGACTTCACTTGGTAAAGGAACTAGCACGTCGTGTTCCCTGGGATTCGGTATAAAATTCCAGCATTATTCTAAGACCCCACTAGATGTCTACCTACCGTCCAGTTCAGCAGCAGGGTAACGCACAGGACCAGGGACCTCCGGCTCCACGGGGCAGCGGCTGTCTGACAGGTTCAGCTGGGAAGAAGTGTGGTAAGAAGTTATTTCTTCTGATTTCCCGTGGCCTCGGGGCAATCGTGGGGGCAGCCAAGCAGCCACCAGTCGTACACACTGGAGCTAGTGCCTACCAGATGCCATTTGCCTCGCCAGCCGGGCAGGAAGCCGGAAGCTGAGGCCACTTCCGGTGTCCAATGCCATCAGCGCTTGCGCACTACCCGGGCTGTTGGGGCTGGGCATCTGACAGTGGCGCTTGCTTGGTGAAGCGTGTCGTGCCCCGTGGCCACCCCACACCTCTGAGGTCTCAGCAGAAACTGGACTCCGGGCAGTGGACACGTGTCCCGAGGTTCCTCCGGACTGAGTCTGTGCGAGAATAACGCGTTGAGTTACCACGAGCACCTTTATTTCTATACCTTTATTCCATAATGGGAAGCGCGGTCCGCTCAGCTTGTTGCTTGTCTGGCCAGAGCGCTTTCTCAGAATCTACATCAGCAGCTGGCTTTCGCTGTGCTCTAAGCTAAACTGGTATGTCTCGAAATATTGCCGCGACTAACCTTGCTTGCCCAAGCAGTCCTGCTCCTCCGCATCCCCTCCGGAGTAGCGGAGTCCCCGGAGCTTGTCTGATAGGCTTGTGGTTGGTCAGAGCGTTTCGTGGCTCACCTTCGGTAAATGGTTTCCCTGAACGATTTTAGCCATTATGGCTGCACAGACTTATTTGATGTCAGTCCAGGTTTCTCTTCTCTGCACTCAGTTCCTATATTCAAGCACCTAAGCCATCCTCCTTTGAACATTTTTGAGAAATCCAGATATCTATCCAAAATAGTGCACCCATTTAGCCTCTGACTTTGCCGCCACTATGTCACTCCATCCACACAACTTCACCTCCTTTTCCTTCCCTCCCACTATGGTTGCAATGTTTATCTCCCAAAAACTCATATGCTAGAATCCTAGTTCCCAAGGGATAATATTAGAAGGTGGGGTACTTTGGAAGGTGATGAGGTCATGAATGTGGAATCCTTTAGTTCCCTTATTTAAAAAAAAAAAAAAAAAAAAAAAAAAAAAGTCAGAGAACTAGCCAGAACTTTCCGCCATGTGTGGACCCGTCAAGGCGGCACTCTATAAAATGGCCCTTTCCAGACATGGGGTCTACCAGCACAGTAGTCTTGGATCTTCTAGCCTCTAGAAATATTATGTTATGTATAAGCTGCCCCAACCCCTCATCCATTCTTCCATGAATTTCTGTAATATCTCAGGGATATTTCTCAAACCTGCCGAGGCTATGAAGTGCTTATTTAGTACATGGGAAGCCCTTAGGTCCCAGCATTACAAAACAAAAACCAAACCCAGGAAAACCTAAAATATTTTCCAATTCTGCTTCTCTACTTAATTGTCCTTACCTTTATCCAACAGTAACTAAACATTATCTATCCAGTTAAGTAAAATAGTCGAGTAAGATCTGATTATGTCACTATTCAACTTGACACTTTCCACAGACATTCTGCTGTCCTTAGGGTAACATCTGAAGTCTTCAATGTGACCATTTCGGTTACTCTCTCGACAGCCAGTGTTAGCTTCTTGTGTTCCTAGGCAAGCATTCTCAGTTTAGGCACTATTTTTAGAACCCACATGTCACAAAGGGAAGGCAGTCTCAGAATTGAGGATGGATTTCACTGGACGCAGAGAATGGGAACGAGAGGCTGCAGAACAGTGGTGGCGCACACCTTTACTCCCAGACTCAGGAAGCAGAGGCAGGCAGATCTCTGTGAATGCAAGGCCCGTCTAGTCTGTCTACAGAGTGAGTGCCAGGACATCCAGGGCTACACAGAGAAACCCTGTCTCAAAACAGACAAAACAAATGAGGGGCCAGCAAGATAGCTTAGTATTTAAGGGCGAAGAACTCAGACCTAAGTTTGACGCTCATAACCCACATAATGGAGAAGGAGAGAACTGATCCACAGAGCTGTCCTCTGACTCACACATGTACACAACACATGGGAGTGAAGGCCAGGGTGTCAGAAGCTCAAGCTCATCTTCAGCTGCAAAAGACCCTATACCAAAACCCAGAGTTAAAATGAAGGGAGAATGGGTGCGATCTGCTGCTTTTGGAGGCATGCATACTTCAGGATAAGTCTAGACCTTCAGCAAATGGGCTTGCGTTCTCGGACCTCCTGATTATCCCTGGTAAAGCTTTAGGATTAGTAACTTTCACCTTTGGCTATTCCCCTTGACTGCCCTGAGTTGGAGATGCTATTAACCTGGTCCTGGGCTGGGTCAGCTGACTGTGAGGCATGTGGTAAAGAATTAACTATGATGTTGTCTCATCATCTTTTTGAATTATGGTTCACATAAAAGTTATTCTTTAAAGTTCACAATTCACTTTTTAAAATATTCACAAGGTTGTGCAACCACAATCCCCCAAAGAAACCTGTATCTGTAATCACCCCACATGACCCCCTCATCATGGCTTTTGACAATCACTAATCTATTTTTTGTCTTTAGTTGTCTGCTTAAGCAGACATTCCACATACCTGAAATCATGTATGAGCTTTGCCACTGGCCTCTATCACTGAGCCTGTTTTCAGGCACATACATAGTATATGTACTTCCTTTCTTGTGGTTGAATATTTCACCTGGGGAGAACATTTTGTCTATTCATTCTGTCCTCTCTGTTCTCTCTTGGGGTATGTACCCTGTAAATCTTTTATTTGATGATCCAGCTAGGAAGAATGAGGCTGAAGGTGGCATTCTTCAGTACAGCCTAAGTCAGATAAGCCACCCAAAATCTGTTCTTTAGACACTCTTTAAACTCGGAATACCTGTCAGCTCCACTGACATGTTTCTCAGGGGACATCCCCAAATTCACAGCACAGTGATTTAAAAATTGCCAGACACAGTGGCACATATCTTTAATGCCAGTTTCAAAAGCCCAGCCCAGCCCAACCCAGCCACCTGCTGTCTTGTTTTGTTGTCTCAGAAACTCAGGACACTGACAGGTGGACTGCTTGAGCCCAAGAGTTTGGGGCCAGTCTCGGCAATACAGTGAGACGCCATCTCAAAACACAGACCACCAACCAAAGACCCAATCAGGAAACTAACTAAAGAAACAAACAAAAATTGGATGGTTATGAAATGTGATCTAGACTATTTGAATTCTGAACATTTGTGGTTTTCTTCCTAAAACAGCAAAACAATAGAAAATTAGTCTTCAAGTTTGCCGAATTCAAATGAGTTCAAACCCCATGACTGGAGAAAAATGTGTATCAAGCACTTACTAGTATCTGTTACTTATAAAGTAGTCAATACCATCTTTATTTCAGTGGGAAAAATGTTTATTCCAAGGGCTAAACAGCAGAACCATTTTAATAGATATTTAAGTTTCCCTTAGGAACTGTGAGGTACTCATGACTGGTACAGGAAAATCTGTGGGTGACTCAACAGGCTTGCAAGAACTGGTATGAATTATGTTCCAAGAATCCTAAACTTCATTCTTAATTCACAGGAATGTCAGACTGTTTTACTGGCAATTTGGAAACTATGGGTCCCATGTATTTTGGCAAGTGACAGCTGTTTTTATTACAAATGCGTACTGCTGGGCATGGGTGTACATCAGTAATCCCAGCATTCCACTGGTTAAGACAGATGGATTGCGAGTTTGAACTAGCCTGAGTTATACAGGAGATTATATCAGCACCCACTGCAAAAACAAAACAATTGTACAAGAATGTATTACAAAGGAATGGGAGAAACAGTTTGCAAGTCATACACCTGACAAGTTCCTTATTCCAGAATATTTAAAGAATCCTTCCAACACAGCAATAAAAATGATAAATAATGCATTTTAAAAGGGTCACAAAGAAAGTTCTGATGGCTCATACCTGGAATCCCAGGGCTCAGGCTGAGGCAGGAGGATCGCTGCAAGCCTGACCAGCCTAGGCTACAGGGCAAGACTCAAAAGGTTTGGGAAATAGAGGCAGGGATGTTATCTCAAATTCATGGCCAGCGTAGTCTATGTAATGAGTTCTAGGCCAGCCAGAGCTACAGAGCAAGAAGACCCTGTCTCAAAACACCAGAGGGGCTGGGAACTTTGAGTAGCTATTTCTTCAAAGGAAATACACATTCAATAAATGTGTTATTAGTCATCAGGGAAAATACAATCAACGTCATGACACACCACTTCACATTGACTGGGAGAGCAAAGACAAACTTTAGGAAGCTGGACATGTGACATATGCCTATCATCCTGACGCTTGGGAGGTAGAGGCATGAGGAGCAAGAGTTCAAGGTCAGTCTCAGCTGGGAGTCTGAGTTCTGTGCCAGCCATGAGACTGTCTCAAAAGGCAAAATCATTAACAACAACAACAAAAATTGGAACCCTTGTACATTGCTGGTCAAAATGTAAAGTGTGGTGCAGCCTCTTTGGAAGATAGTTTGAGGTTTCGTAAAAGAGGTAAACAGAAAATTATCACGTGACCTAGCAGTTCAACCTTTAGGCATGTACCCAAAAGGAATGAAATACAAAAACTTAAATGTCAATGTTCACAGCAGCATTGTTGTGAACAACATGTTCCATTCACAATAGCTAGAGTGCAATTACACAATGTCCATCAATCAATAGATAAATGAATGCCCCTTCATACAATGCAACATGACTAGGGAATAAAAGGAATGAAGTCCTGATATGTGATACGTGTGTGAACCTGAAGATACTCTGCTCCAGAGGCACAGGGTGTGACAGGAACAGGGCATCCCTGCTAATGTTTAAGGGTGCTTTCTCTGCGAGGCTGAGAATGTTCTAAAAAGAGGCACAGCTCTAACTAAACACTGTATTGTAACCATTGAACCGTATACTATAAGTGCACGCGTTTTCTGGTATGTGTAATTCTTCAATGAAGAAATAAAAAGGAAGCATTTTAGTTTTAGGAAACGTTGGAGTGAAAATGTAACAGTCTGTTGTACTGTGAGGAGTCAATGCCAATTTTATGGAAAGTGATGGTTGTAATGTGGGATTGGTTTACACCCTACTGGAGCAGCGAAAATGCTCTTCAGAGGTATAGACATCCACTATTTGTCCATGTTTCCTTTCTCCTTGGGTCTCCCTGGGAGTAGCTCAGGGATCCAACACTACAAGCAGGAGTCCCCCCTAACCTGACACCAGTATGTGCTAGGCAGCACCCAGAAATATGGCAGCCAATGGGATGGCTAGGAGCAAGAGCCACATGTGAAAGGGAAAAGGCCATTTTCTCCTTTGGGGTCTAGGAAGGAGAAGCTGGCTGCAAAGAGAATAGGTCAAGACCTGATGCTGAGGCTCTGGCGAAGAATGCATGGGCAAAGGAGATGAAGGAACCCCACATACAAACACAGCCCAAAGGCCTCCAGTGCCGTCAGCTGCCTGGAGGCGAGCCTCATGCAAAGGTCAACTGCACTGGGGAGAGGAAGGCAAGGCGACAGCCCGTCTTGACCTTTTGAAAAAGAATAATGTTCACTGTTAGTCTGTCACACAAATTAAAGGTCTTCAGCTGAACAGGTACCGAAGACACTAAACAACTACGAATGTGTAATCTGAAAAGAGGAAACATACTCACTAGCTCTATGAAAAATCCCAAGTAACAGAACTCTAGGAAGTGTCCCTTCGCCAACGCTTAGAAACAAGTCTTTGTCCCTTCCCTTTGGGAGATCGCCTTTGAGTGACTAAGCTGACCCAAGGTACACTGGCAGGACAGGTAGGCCAAATGATGGTCCTCAACATACACTCACACCTTAATCACTGCAGCCAGCAAATGTTACCTTAAATGGCAAAAGGAACTTTTCTGGGGTGCTATTAACGATTTTGAGATGGGAGAGATTATCCTGCAATACCCAATATAAGCATCCTTCTAAGAGAGATGCTGAAGTTAGACAAGGTTGGGCAAGACGGACAGTCAAAGAATGTACTTTGAGGATGAAGGAGCCATGAGTTCAAGAATGTAGGAGGCTGATATTAGCTGAAAAATTCAAGGAGACTGACTCACCTCTCAGATTCTCCGAAAGGGAAGCCCTGCCCAAGGTGATTCTGGCTGAGTGAAACTGATTTCAGACTTTTAACTTCCAGTAGTATAAGAGAAGCTGTGCTAAGCCACCAAGTTTGCAGTCATTTGTTATAGCACCAATAGAAAACAAATACAGACATGACTAAGAAGTGGCTACAAGACAACAGTGAAGTTGACCTAGAAGAAAGGGTATGTGTATGTGAGGGGGAGGGGTCATGACTGTAAAGGCTCTGTCCAGTAATGGTATGTGGGCTGGCAAAGAGGTGAGGACAGGCTCAACACTGGAGATAAAGGCAGTGACTTCATAGTGGTGCCTTCAGAAGAATGGCCGCCTCCTCCATGTGTACACAAGGTGAAACACTTTATCTGCCTGAGCTGAGGAAGAGCAGGGCTTGCTTAGGGTGATATTGATTGGGTTCTTCTTCCTACTTTAAGTGAGCAAGAGTTTGGCAGAGGATGGTGTCACAGACCCAGTTCTGGAACTCTAACATTTTATATAAACATAGAATTCTGTTATTTAAAAATGCTATGGAGGTATAATTTACCTGTCATAAATTAACTTGCTTCAATAACTTTCCTGGAATCACCGATTGTATAACCATTGCCAAAATCCAATGGTAAACACTGTGAACATGCCAGTCACGGTCTTAAAGCTAATGGCTTGAGAAAGAACAGATAGAATTCCCCTGTCCACCAGAGCAGTATTCACTTCTCCTTACATCCTAGGCTGCAGTTGCAACATCTTTTGTAAATCAAAAGTACTTTGATATAAAACACATCAAATAAATTTTTTTTTAAATAAAAGTACCATCTACTTACTTAGAAACTGCTCATCACATAAATACATATATATATATATCTCAATTTGTCTTTTGTTAAGTCTGTTACTGAAGGGTGTAGATTGCACACCTTTAAACCCAGCACTCAGGAGGCAGGGGGGTGGATCTCTGTGAGTTCAAGGCTATCCTGGTCTATACATAGTGAGTTCCAGCAGACAGAGCTATAAAAACCAGCACCACTAACAACAAAAAAGTTAGTTGCAGAAAGACTATCCTTGGAAAACTGCTGAACTGCTTGTGTGCATATGAAAATAACTGTATTTTAGAAGATAAAGCAACCAGGAGAACTGAACTGAGATTAATTAAATTAATTAAAACCACTTGCAAGTCATCCTAACTATTCCTTAGTTAACTAGTCCCCACTCTGCTGAGACGCCAGTTCTTTCTGCCCCAATACCCGCATCAGCCATCTTTGCAGACAGACCCCATCAGCCTCTTTGAGCTCTTACCAGTTGAATTTTCACCCATCAGTCCCCCAAGGGCCACTTGCTCTGTAAGTCACAGGAACATTCTGTGATTTACATGCAAGGAAGGAAAGGAGAGACAGAAAGCCCTTCCCCAGGACTCTAAAGCACACAGCATTTCTTTAGTCCCCATGGTGGAGCCTGTGGTGCTGGTGGAGGTTTGAGCTTTGGCGAAAGCTTTTCCCACACTGGCTGCAATGGTATGGTTTCTCCCCAGTGTGGATTCTCTGGTGCAGTTTCAGAGTTGACTGCCGGGCAAAGCAGTTTCCGCACTCCCCACAGATGTAGGGCCTCTCCCCTGTGTGGACTCTCTGATGTCGTTTCAGCTCCGAATTCCACGTGAAGCTTTTCCCACAGTCATCACATCTGTAAGGCTTCTTGGCTGAGAGGGCTGCCTGGGGACTAAGGCGTTGCAGGAGGCTGCTCAGACTGCTTCTGCCTCCACCGCTTTTCTTTAGCTCTCTCAGTGGGTGGCCTCTGAGGGGGTTGCTGAGACAGTCCAGCTCTCTGCATTGTCTCTGGTAGAGAGCAGGTGGCTTCTGAGCATGTGGTTGGGTGACCTGCCACCCTGACAATCGGGCTTCACTCATGTTCATCCCTCTTGGCTCAGGGCTGTGCAAACTATTCCCTTTAGACCTTCCAGGTAACACGGCAAATGTCTTTGCACCTTTTGCTCCCTCCTGCTGTGGATTTTCCTTGTTGTCACTTCTCATTCTGGAGGCCTCTACAATTAGAAATAGTATGTTTCATTTTCTGTACTTAGAAGAAAGAACTTCAGCAAAAAAAAAAAAAAAAAAAAGTATAAAATATGTTGTGAAGTCTGTCAAAGGGTAGGTAGTCTTCTGCTGCTAGCATTAGCCTCCTCTGGGCCAATCAACAAGAGGTTCCTCACCCTTGACACTGATGAGCCAGAATCTCTGAGGGTTAGGCCTAGAAATCTGCACAGTTAACTAGTTCCTGGGAGTTTCCCTAATTTATAGTAAAGCTAGGGGCCAAATTCTCCTTCTGTCCTGCATATCTTTAGGAAAAGGTATAGAAAAAAGCAGAAATAGAAAAGAAAGAAAGAAAAAAATCATGAGAACGAAGTATAAACAATCAAGAAGGAAGACAGTGGGTGTGTTATTTATTGTCAGGGTCTATTGTATTGCCCGGATTGATTTTAAACTCTAGGGCCTTTAGTGATCCTCCAAGAAGCTGAGACCACAGACATGTACCACCGCACCTGGCTAAGGGTTACCATTCCAATGCTGAAAACAATTATTTGAATAAATATATCTCCCTTACGAAGACAAAGACTGCAACCTCCCTCACTTCAAAGGATGAATAATCCAGTGACTCTGGTGCTTCTCTCAGTATAATGTTGACTGCCTAAGTATTTAGAAACTGGAATGTAAACTAGATATGTATCCTAATTAAAGAAACTGTCCACCTTCTGACAGGACTGAGGATCAAGATGGATGAGAGCTAGAATGGACCAGCAAAACTGCTGAACCAACAAGACCTCTGAAGTGGAAAGATTGTTTTCATGAACTGTATACAGCACTCAACATGGTATCCACCAAACAGATGTGACTGTTGAGTATTTGAAACAGAGCTAATGTGGCTGAGGAACTGAATTTTGAATTCACTTAAAATTTAATAAGGAACTCAAACAGTTATTGCCAAGTGGTTTTCATCAAGGTTTTGCTTTGTTCATTTTTTAAGGTTGGGTCTCATATACCCCAGGCTGGTCTCAAACTCACTATGTAACTGAAGATGATCTTAAGCTCCTGACCTTCTGCCTCCATCTCCCAAGAACTGAGATTACGGGTGCTGAGATCACCATGCCTAGCTTCCTCAAGGTTTTTAAGAACAATCCAATGGGAAAGGCATCATTTTCCAGAGAGTGACCCTGGAATCACTGGATTCTCACAAGCTTCAAAGAATAAAGTAAGATTCCAGTCTCAGTGAGTAGCAACCTAAGTTCATGTGTTGATAATCCCCAGTGTACAAGTACGGGGAGGTGACTGGGTCATAAAGATGGCCCTCATGAATGGAATTAGTGCCCTTCAGCCACATGAGGACACACAGCAGGTGCCATCAGTGGGCCTCAGACACTGCATGTGTTGGTACCAACTTTGGACTTCTTTTCGCTTGTGTGTGTGTGAGAGTATATAAGTATGGCACATATGCTTCTGTGTGCCTCTGTAAAGCACAAGTGAAGAGGCCAGAGAAAATGTCAAATATCTTGCTTTATCTCCACCTTATTCTCTTGAGACATGGTCTCTTAATGACCCTGAGGCTAAATCCTTTCTCCTCCCACCCCCCAGAACTGGCATTACAAGAGCATACAGCCAGGCCTGATTTTTTTTTCTGTGGGTTATGGGAATTTGAACTCAGTAAACACTCTTACCTACTAAGCCCATTCTCCAGCTGACCTTGGACCTAACTTTTGAAACTCTTAACAATAAATCCATTGTTTGTTTACTGCCCAGTCTATGTGACTTTTGTTATAGCAGCCTCAGTAACAGGTACAAAATATTACATGCAAAAAACTAACTCAAAATGAACCCAAGAACTAAACAACTCTTCAGTGAACATGAATCATTTAATTGGGCAATGGTATTTTAGCTACGACACCAAAAGCCCAAGAAAAGAAAGAATCAGAGATTGTTAACATGAAAAACATTTGGGCTGGTAAGATGGCTCAGAGGGTAAAGGCGCCTGTGGCCAAGCCTGATGACCTGAGTTTGACCCACATAGAAGAAAGAGAGAACTGAATCTGCAAAGTTTCTTCTACCTTCCACAAATGCTCATGGCATGTGTGTGCCCACACATACAGGCACACTCAAAATAAAACTATAGTACAAGTTTTTTAAAAACATGAAAGACATTTGTGCTTCAGGGAATACCATCAAAAAAGTGAAAGGAAAAGCTGGCCAATGGTGGCACATGGCTTATAATTCTAGCACTTGGGAAGCAGAGGCAGGCAGATCTCTGAGTTTTGAAGCCAGCCTGGTCTACAGAGCGAGTTTCAGGACAGCCAAAACTACACAGAGAAACCCTTTCTGGAAAAAAAAACAACAACAAAAACAACCAAACAACAACAACAACAGAAACCACCAAATTCATAGAATGAGAGAAAACATTCACAAATTATCATCTGTGAGGTCTAAGATTCAGATACAGGCTTTAGGCGGTGAAGGCTGGAGAATCAGGAGTTCAAGTTCAGCCTCAGCTCTGAAGCCAGCCTAGGCTACAGGACACCCGATAATCACCAAAAGACAAAGATATACAATTCCCCTTTAAAAAGTCTATTTAATTTGTGTGTGTTAGGAGTGGTTGTTTGTATGGCAAAGCAGGTGGGTGTCGGAGGACAACTTGCAGAAGTGGTTTCTCCTTCCATCATGTGGGCCCCAGGGATTGAACTTTGGCTGTCAAGCTTGGCAGCAAGTGCCTTTACCCACTGAGCCAGCTCACTGGCCAACATATGTAACTTAATAAACATATGAAATAGTGCTAAGCATCATAACTCATTAGGGAAATGAAATCAAAAAAACCTCAGGGGATATTAAGTCCTAATGAGAACAGCTGGGGTTGGTGCTGGCAAGGGTGTAGATACAAGTCCTCGAACCTTCTTAATAGGCTCCTCAAGTGACGCAGACACTTTCCAACTAATCCAGTAGTTTTTCAAAAATCAAGTAAAAAACCAAACAGGCTGAGGGTGGTGACCGACCCATGCCTTCAATCCCAGCAGAAGCAGAGGCAAGTGAATGTCTGTGAGTTCAAGGCTAGCCTGGTCTATATAAATGAGTTCCAGACCAACCTTGGCTGCATAGTAAGGCCCTGTCTCAAAAACAACAACAACAAAAATATTATATGTAATTTTAAAAGGCAAGAACTGGCCAGGAAAATGACTTAGTAAGTAAAGGCACTTGCACTCAAGCCCAGAGACTGAAGCTTGATGTTCACAACCCAAATAAAGGTAAAAGGAAAGAAATGATTCCACAAACTTGTCCTTCAACCTCCACATGTACGCTATGGCGCCAACGCGCGCGCGCGCGCGCACAGACACACACACACACAAAAAGTTTTAAAAAGTGGTCATACACAACGCAGCTGCAGCTGCAGAACCATGAGATGCTGTGATGGAAATAAGCTGATGAAAGGGCCCAAGGGTGCACTGTTTTACCTGTCTCAGGCAGTTTGGGGACCGGTTCCTGGAGGCGGACAAAGTTCTCCCAGTGACGGGGACTCAGCTGGTCATGAGATCCTTCCTGGGAAGGCTCTTCCAGAGAGTTCTCTTGAGTGTCTCTGCTAGGAGTTTGGGGTTGAAAGTCTCGAAGTTCTTGTCCTGCGAACTGAGGCCCTGTTTTCTCCAGGAGTACCTTTTGCCCTTGCATACAAACGGTCACCTAGGAAAAGGGCTATCCATTAATTCTCCATTCCATGATGAACTGAGCACAACATGTCCCTCACTGCTGTAGAAGGACTCTTTACCCTTAGAGGACCTGGTAATGACCTAGAATTCAACTTTCAGAGAGACCAAGACCTCTAAGGAGGTGAAGGGAAGGACATGCTGAGCAGGAATGAGGCTGCTTCATAATCAGCCAGGCCTTCCCAAGAAGGTGCTCAAAGCTTGGGCTATTCTAATACAGCCTGGAGCCAAGACCATCAGAAGAGAGCTTGCAAAAATATCAGAATAGGTAATGACAATGCTCCCCCGGATTCCCACCCTATACCCTCACTTCTTCTGCTAGAGACAAGCCCCATGGGAACAGAATCAGGATGGTAAGGGACCATTGAAAAACGTTCCAACTTGTTATGTTTCTCTGTCAGAGAGGTCCAGGGTGCTCAGAACTAAGGAGACTGGCCCCACCCTGTTGCCAGTTCCATTTTCTAAAGCACATCTTACTTGCTTCTTTCAGAGGCTCCAGTTGGGGTCTGACTTGGGGAAGCGGATGAGGCAGGACAGCAACACCCAGGACCTGAGCTGAGACTTCCCCATTCAAAGGCAATATGGTAGACTACACTGGAACAAAGTCCACCAATCTTCACCCAGCGTTAGCTTCCTATCAAACAGGCTAGACTGGTTGGCTAAGGATTCTGATTGTAGACAGCAGAGATCCCAGAATCTTAAAACTATTCTTCTAAGGTCAAGGGCCTATGAAGGAATAGCTTAGTCTTCTATTTCCTCACTGGGTGCCAGTGGCTTGGTTTTCTGAAATCCTGTTACAACTTTTTGGAGGACGGAGAAGATACCTGAGGCTGGAAGGAAATTTTGAAGCTATCCCTTCCTCTGGAATCTCTGACTAGCTAGGGATCCTGACACTGCCCCAAAACACTACCCCAAAAGACAACAAAGATATCCTATGAGCCACAGAGAAAGGACCCTCCTTACCCACTGCTTTGGTTTTTTGGATGCTGTGTGCAAATCTTCCACCAGAGTCACAATCTCCCTGCTGCTCATTGGGCATCGAGGCCAGACCTGCGCCCGGATCTCTGGAGGCAGGATGACCAAAAACTGCTCCATCACTACAAGCTCCAAAATCTGCTCTTTAGTGTGTAGTTCAGGCCGCAGCCACTGTGTGCAGAGCTGTCGCAGGCGGGAGAGTGCTTCCTGGGGGCCAGACACTTCTTGGTAACAAAAGTGTCTGAAGCTCTGGCGGGAAAGCTCTGGATCAGGACAGGCTTTCTGCTGAGGGTCCCCACGTTTCTCTTCCAGCTTCATTATTATGTGTCTCTCTTGCTTGTCAGAATCCTCAGTGTGGGTACTCAAAGTTATCTCCATTTTAGCTGCCATTTTGAGGGCTCAGGGCACAATATCACTCTAATACTAAACTGATGGAGTCTTCTGGGTCATTGCTCAGGAGAAATCTGAAGGCTGGAAAAATGGTAGGAACGAAGCTCCTCTGAAGTGTTAGGGAAGGGCCGCAAAGACATAGCTTTCTCATTTGCTAGCCTTCATCCCAGACTCTAAAGACAAGATAGTTCCTGGCAGCGGGAAGAGTTGGGTCTTCTCGTCAGTTTTTAAGAAGCAAAGTCATAATATCCGAAAAGGGCACTGGAGGGAGTATTTTCTTTGGGTATCTAGCAAAATGCACGACACGGCCTAACGGGCTGGCGGAGGAATCCCCAGAAGTTCAAGCTGTCTCGCACCAACTCTCGCATTCCGCAGACACCGACCTCCAGTACCTGCGAGAGCGGAGCGAGGCCACAGCACCGCCAAGGATGGCGAGAGCGGCTCCGCGGCCCAGGCGGTCCGGCCTGGCGAGGCTGCGGCAAGCGGGCGCGCAGCGCCACCGCAGTGCTCGTGTCACCTCCAGCAGCCACCTGCGACGCCACGAGCAGAGGCGGCTCAGAAGCCAGTGCCCGCCGGCCGGCGACCTACCTCTCCTGAGACTGGAGCCCAGGAACCCCAGAGCATGGGTTAGGGGGCGGGGCTCGGAGACGCCCACTGGCTGCCAGAGCTGCCCACGGGAAGACCCGCCTCTCCCCTACAGGATTGGGTCTCCGGAACACAGGCACCCGTTCATTAGCTGCTTGACCAATCAATCACTCGCAGTGCCTCCCGGGAGTCGTAGTCCAGTGGCTCGTCTGGGAGCGTGCGCAAGGTGCTACCTGAGGGAATTTGGGGAGCAGCAAGGGCGGAGCTCAAGCAAGTCCTCCGTGTGAAGGGCTCCGTATCAGGCCTCACATTGGTCGGGAGGCCCTCTTAGGACCCGTCTGTGGGGTGGTTGGAGCTGGACCCCGGTGTTTAACCATCTAGCTCTCCACTGCAGGACCTTGACTTTCTCTGTCCTTACCTCTAGGGTTTTCCCGCCTCTATATAGTCTAACTCTTGCCCTGACTCAACGAATGCTAATGAGTAGAAAACAAAGTAGGCTGCCCACCACAGGAACCATCTTCAGAGTCTGGCTGACAACCTGGTGGTAGTATTTATGATGTGCAAGGGCGTGGGGCCAATCCCTGTCTCCACAATCAGTGAGTCAATAATTTAGTGATGAACAGAACATAAGGGGTCAATGGGAGCCATCAAATGTGGAGAGCATCTATTACACTTTCTTGAGGTCTACAAGGTACAGAATGAGAGAAAGTGTAAGGCAACTATAATTTAATTCTGTTATTGACGATTAACGTTAACTATTTTCACACACTTCTTTGGATGCTGAAAGACATTAGTCCTTGCCACATAGCAAGCGCTTATCCTTTCCAAAATGAATTTCTTCTCTGATTTTTGCCTGTCTTCTAGCTCCCTTTAATTTTAAATTTATTTTTATGTGTGTGGGTAAGTTTGCCAGTGAGTATGTCTGCGTACCGTGTGCAAACCTGGTGCCCGTGAAAGCCAGGGAGAATGTTGCAATCCTCTGCCACTGGAGTACAGAGAGATGTGACCTGTGATGTGGGTGCTGGGACTCAAACCCAGGCCCTCTGGGAGGGCAGCCACTGCTCTTAACAGCTGAGCCATCTTTCCAGCTTCTTTTATTTTTACTCAAGTCTTTTTTTTTTTTTTAAGAAACTTTTCGTTGTTCTTTTAAGACAAAGTCTCACAATGTAGCCCAGCTTATGACTGTTTGCTTTCAGGCATGCCTAGGTCTCTATCTGCGACAGGGTGTGCCCTTTACCCTGAATTCCCTAGCCCAGGGGCAGGGCTTCCCCTCTCCCAGAGGCTCTTCCCTATATCATCCAGACATTTTCATTCACTCTTCTTCCCTCGCCTCCCCCCATCCCCCCCTGCTTCCAATGAACCTACGTTTATTTATATATAACTTTGTCTTACCATAAACTCATTCTGTTATTTCAATCATCTGGTGTGCTTCTCTCTCTCCCCCTCCCCCTGCATGGAAGCCAAGAGCAGCTTCCGATATGCATTTATTTATATATAACTTCGCCTTGCCATTAGTTCATTCCATTATTCCAATCAATAATCCTCCCGTCTCAGTTTCCCCAGCGCTGGGATAACAGGCATGTGCAAGGATGCTCTAGAAAACTTTCTGATTATTATTTTTTTCTTGAGGCTGGGAAATAGCTCAGTTGATATAGTGTTTGCCACATAAGCATGAAGACGCATGTGAAAAATCTGGAGCTCTTGTAATCCCAATGCTGGGGAGGTGGAGGGAGGGCAGGTGGACATAGGAACTCCCTGGCCAGATATCCTAGTCTAGATGTTAATTTCCAGGCCAATGAGAGACCCTGCCTCAAAATAACAAGGTGGACAAAACAACAACAAAGCCCAAAACAACAACTACTAAACGACAAGAGGGCTGGAGAGACGGTGAGTAGTTAGAAGCACTTGTTCTTCAAGAGAATTTGAACTCTATTTCTAGCACTGTGTCAGACAGCTGATAACTATGTATAACTTTAAATTCAGGGGATCCAACACCTCTAGCCTCCACTGGCACCTGCATTTACATGCATATGCCCACATGAAGCCACATAAACCTACATATAATTAAAAATAATAAACAGGTCTTTAAAAAGTTTAAAATGCAACATAGTGGCACATGTCTTTAATCCCAGCACTCAGGAAGCAGAGGCAGGCTGATCTCATCTGAGGCCAGCCTGGTCTACAGAACAGCCAAATCTACGTAGTGAGACTCTGTCTTAAAAAAAAAATAAATAAATAAAACAAAACAAAACAAAAAAGTTTTAAAAGCAAGTAACAAACAAAAACCTAATCAAGATGTCTGCTCAGAGAATTTTAAAAACCTGACCTTTTCCCTCAGCACCAGGGGTAGGGGCAGGGGGAGGGGAATGGCACAAGGTGAGCAGCTCCTGAGGAAATGACCTCCATGGGTGACCTTTAGCCTACAAAAGCATGCACCAATGCACAGATACATATAGAAAAAAATTAGGTAAAAATTCACATAACATCAAATTAACCAATATAGAGTGAGCAACCACAGTGTTATTTACAATGTTGTGTAACAACCACTCTATCTGTTTAATAAGACATTCTCATTACCCTAAAAGAAAACCTTGTGCCTGTAGCTGGTTCCTATTCTGTCTGAATTTACCTGAATTTACCATACAATAGTCTATTGTATGGCTAGTACAAAGTTCCATGTTCCTATACCTTTATACCTTTTTCCAGGAAACAATTTGACTGGATATATTTCCAGACAACCTTAAGATCTCATCTGACTTGTCTACTTAATCGAAAATGGCCCCCATCACTTGCTAAGTGAATCCTAAATTCAGACGTAGCAGAATAAGAGTAGATTTTTTACTTCTCATTTTGCAGAAAAATCAACTCCAAATGAACCAAAGACCTTAACATAAGAACTGGAACAAAAAATGCTAGAGGGGAAAAAAAAGGAAAACATCCCAAGATATTAGCACAGGTGCAACACTTTCTGAGAACACTCCTGTTGCTCAGGAAACCCATTATTTAATAATTTATATGTTTTTATTTTATGTGCATTAGTGTTTTGCCTGAATGTATGTCTGTGGGTGTCAGATCCTGGGGTTATAGTTACAGTTGTGAGCTGCCATATGAGTGCTGGGAATTGAACCTGGGTCCTCTGGAAGAGCAGTCAGTGCTCTTAACCACTGAGCCATCTCTCCAGCCCTCCAGAAAATACATTATTGACAACTGGGACCTCATGAAATTAAAAGGTGAGGCAGCTGCCAATCAAACAGCTACCTCTTCCAGCTGTCAACATGACAGCCACAACTGTCTTGACAGCCACACCTTACAGTTCCTTGGAAACCTCTGATCCTGTCATGGATAGTCCACAGAAACTTCATTTGAGGTTCAGATGCCCAGAGAAAACTTCATTACAGCCTAGAAACCACCCAGGTGTCACCACCACAGACAGGGGCAGCTTTGTTCTGGGGGGACCCTGCTTTAGTCGGGGCTGCTCCAGAGACCCTGTGGCCCTGAAAGGTACTCCTTCCAAGTGCGGACCGCTATGACATTCCTAGGCAGTCATCTAAAAGTTGCCTAAAGTAGGCTGCCCCGCCCTCTGTGAAATGGTGGTATTGGAGTTTCAGTTTCTACCAGATCTTCAGGGACTGCTGGAATAATGTTTACAACTCCCACCAGCTCACCCCCACCTGGCAGCGGGGTGCTGTTCCCGGCAACAACCAATGAGGCTGTGTTAGAGGGGTCTGGCAGCTGCCGTACACTCTAGTCCTCAAGATACCTACCAAGTTACTTACTTATTTATTTATTTCTTATTTGTTTATTGCCGTTCTAGAGATTGATCCAAAAACCTCAGGCATTCCAGGAAAGTGTTCTGTTATACCACTGAGCTGTAGCCCCCAGCTTTACCCATTTTTTTATAACATTTTTTTTCTTGAGAATTTCTTTTTTAATTTAATTAATTACTTTTTATGTGTTCACGTGTTTGTCTGCATTTTATGTCTGTGTACCACATGCATGCCTGGTACCTTTGGAGACAAGAAAGAAGGCATTGAGTCCCCTGGGACTGAAGTTAAAGACAGTTGTGGGTGCTAGGACTCAAACCAGGTCCTCTGGAGGAGAAGCAGCTTCTTCTTCTCCTTCTTCTTCTCCTCCTCCTCCTTCTCATCCTCCTTCTTTTTCTTCTTCTTCTCCTCCTTCTTCTTCTGGCTTTTTCAAGACAGGGTTTCTCTGTGTAGCCTTGTCTGTCCTGGACTCCCTTTGTAGACCAGGCTGGCCTCGAACTCACAGAGATCCACCTGCCTCTGCCTCCCATAGTGCTGAGATTTCAGCGCCTGACTAAGAGAAGCTTCTTAACTTTCCAGCCTCCATTGTTGATAATTTCATACTGTGGACAATGAAACATGATCATATTCATCCCTCAATAATTTTTAAAGGGAGAAGAACAACTTGGCCATAGTAGAGCACACCACTAATCCGTGCACTTTGAAGGATGAGGCAGGAGGATTGCCGTGAGCATAAGGCCAGCCTGATCTACAGTGCTGACCCCATCTTAAAACAACAAAAAAAAGGACAAAATTGTTAAGGATACTTTTGCCATGGAGACCCATGATGCCCTTCACTTTCCAGCTCTAATCAGTTATCTTTTCTCCCCTTCCCCACCCTTATCCCTCCAGTAAGCAGAATTTACAAAGCCGTTGTATCTGGCATGAATCGAGTAATGATGGCACCTAGGCTTCGAAGTAGCCCTGTGGCAGCGATTGTTGCCTGAGATTTTATGGGATTGTTCTTTTGACTGATTCTCAGAGCTTTTTGCATAACTTAGTCTCAAGACATGCCTGGCAACCCAGGAAGTCTCCTTTGGCTGAGAATTGCTTAAGGTGACTTAGTTCTTTCAAGACTATCCGATCCCTAGATCAGATAAGAGGTTTTGGTGTTTGACCTCCCCACCCCCTAAGGGAGGAGCAGTCCTGCTAGGCCACAGAGGAGGACTTTGCCGCCAGTCCTGATGATACCTGATAAAACAGGTATCATCATTTTAGGGTCAGATGAAAGGGGAGGAGGTCCTCCCCAATCCGTGGACTTGGAAAGGGGCAGGAAGGAGATGAGGGAGGGAGGGAGGGTGGGATTGGGAGGGAATGAGGGAGCCAGATACAGCTGGGATACAGAGTTAATAAAATATAACTAATAATAAAAAAAAATAATTTAATTAAAAAAAAGTTTTGGTGTGCAGAAATTGGCTTGCTAAAGGTGTCTTTTGTGTAACATTAAAAAGCTTCTGCTTTTGAGGCTCAGTCCCTGAGAGACTGATCCCACTGCTGCTCGAGAATCCTAAATTCATTCTACAGTGGCTCTCTTTCCCACTAATCCAGAACACCCACACGCCCTGTCTTTCCACTCCCCTAACTCATAGTTTTAAGGTGCCCCATACTTTCCAGAAGGAAGCTCCGCAGAACTCTGAAATGTTTAAAGAATGATTCTATTTTCTCCCTATAATACTTGTAGTTATTTCGAAACTCAAATGAACTGACCAGAGGACATGACTGCCTGTCTCCTTAGAGTTACTACTCCCATGAGTCAGCTGTGTTATTTAGCATATGATTGAGGTAAATGGCATGGGATGAGGAGCTGGGAGGTAACAAGGTAGATTCGTGGGTTAATATCTGCCCAGCCCCAGGTAAAATAAGGCTTACCTAAAATCTATCAGGTGTCTGTGTCTTTTTTTTTTTTTTTGATATTGTAGTGGGTTAATAATAACTGCCATAATAATTATAGGCTTTTAATAATAAACATTATTAGCAATTTGTATTTTCCACAACAGAATATTGCTATGGACAGAACTGGAAAGTCAGGTTGTGGCTTTGGTCTTAGGTAGAGAAACAAATATAGGACAGGATAATATTGTTAAATTATTTTTTAGGGGAAGTAGTGGAAGGGAAAATTTATCATTGTTTGTTCCATTCTATCCAAGGGACAGAAACCCAAACCAGCAAACATGAAAATGATCTGTATGGGAAGTTTAGATTTTTACCACAAGAAAAGGAGATTGATAACACTCAATATAATTATAATTTCATTAACTAAGCACTTACCGAGCACATACAGAAACAAAGCTGAAGATCCTTTGAAACTACCTCTGAAACCTATTAATCTTTTTTTTCTGATAATGTAGATGCCAAACAATTGTCCCATATTAGCCTGGCTTCTGTCTGGGAAAGGGGTGTGTGAACTGTTATGGCAGATGAGCTTTCTTTTAGCCATTCTAGTAAAGGGTAGAGTCATATAGTTGTGATTCCAACACACAGTTTCTCGAGATAAGTTTTGTCCTAAATCAGTTGTTGGCTCCCTGCAGCAGCTGTGCTAGAAGACTGAAGCTTGAGGCAGAGGGCATGCTTAGTGAATGGACGACCCTTGGGCTCCTGACTTGCTTAAGGAATCCTAGCATATTCCACAGTCCACTGCTCAGACTGGTAGCAGACCTGATGGCTCGGGATGTTAGCGGGAATGATTTAAATAAAGCCAGATGGAGGCATTTGGGGCTAGCATTGAAAGGCAAATCGTCTTGCCTGACTTTTCTCATTAATTATTACATTAGGTAGAAGGCAAATTTGGATGCGGATTTACAGAGAAGGGTAATCCAGCGACGGTGTGGGAAGCATGACTAGTTAGTCTGCAGCATTGAGCAGATACAGAGAACTGAACCGAGATGATGGATAGCTAAGATACAAAGGTAGATTCCATTTTCATCTGAAGTTAATAATGCATGGCCTGAACTCATGGAATTATACAAGAAACTTCATGTCCCTTAGAAAGTAAAGAATTCAGCAGAAATACGTTCTATAATAAATAACATAGACATCAGAGGTAGAGACAGTGAAATAGATCTGTGTTAGTTCAATAGCTTCTGGATCTGAACGATACACATCTGCCCTGCTAACTGTAGCTCACGGTAGTATTTCTTGCAAATAAACACAGAATGCCTCAAACGATACTAGCCATCTTCCGAAAGTGTAGTATTGTCAAGAACATGCCTTGGCTTTGCTGACTGTAGACCTCATAAGAAAGGAACGCAGGACGAAGAGGGAGTTAGCAACGAAGAAGAGAAGATAGCTCGTTCTTCAGCTGGCTTCTCTTCCTTTCCCCAGCAATCTTCCCAGCGCCCCCTTCACTTCTTTGTTCCTTAGAGTATAGATGAGAGGATTTACCATGGGTGTGACCACAGAGTAGAAGAGAGAAATGAATTTTCCTTGGTCCTGATTACTGCTCTTAGCTGGCAGCAGATAGCCATAGATAGCCGAGCCATAGAAGAGGAACACCACCACCAAATGGGAAAGGCACGTATTGAAGGCCTTCCGGCGTCCCTCGACGGAGCGGATCTTCATCACTGCCTGAGCAATGAAACAGTAGGAGATCAGGATAATGCTCAGTGGGACGGCAGTGAAGAAGGTGCAGACACCATTGAGCACGGCCTCGTTGAGACTCGTGTCCCCACAGGCCAATTTAATCATGGCGGGCACCTCACACAAGAAGTTGTCCACCTTCCGGTGTCCACAGAATGGGAGCTGCAGAGTGAATGTTGACTGAATCACGGAGTTGCCTAGGCCGCCCAACCAGCTGATAGCGGCCAGCAGCCAGCAGAGCCGGGGATTCATGATGCTCATGTAGCGCAGGGGCCGGCAAACTGCCACGTAGCGGTCAAAGGCCATCACCACGAGCAGTATGCACTCGGTAGCCCCCAGCCAAAGGAAAACGTACAGCTGAGTTACACACCCACCATAGCTGATCGTCTTGTCTGGCCCCCATAAGTTTTTCAGCATTTGGGGGACTGAACTGGTAGTAAAGGCAAGGTCCAGGGAAGAGAGGTTGCTGAGGAAGAAGTACATGGGTGTGTGGAGCCGCGCATCGAGGCGGGAAAGCAGGATGATGGTTGAGTTCCCGGCCACGGTCAACAGGTAGGAGGAGAGGATGACTACGAAGAAGATGCTCTCCAGCTGGGGATGGTCAGATATGCCCATCAGAATGAAGCTCCCAGAAGAGCTGTTGCTGTCCGCTTCCATTGCCGGTTGCCTCGGTCCCTGGAAGCCTGCTCTGGAAAACTCCTGGGGGAGAAGCAAGGGAAGAGGCAGCTACTGCTAAATCTGCATCCAGAATGTTCTTCAGCCTCCACGGTTCAGTACCAGTCCAGCTTTTCTGGGCACAAGCTTTTATGCAATCCTTGGTTGTCAGCTGAGCTGGGATGTCAAAGGGAACCTAGCACAGAGATAGAGGAGGGAATGTTTTCGTGAAGACAGCCAACTCTTCAGTCTGAGGCTACGGTGTGACAGGACAGAGGGGAGCTGGCAAGTTAGAATTAGATAGGGGCATTCTGAAAACACAGATTTCCTCAGCTAAGGTTTTCTGTGCTCTGAGCACACACACACTGAATTTGGAAAGTCTTCCCCGGAAGTTATTGGTAACTCTCTTTCTCGGGCTGGAGCAATGGCTCGGCAGTTAAGAGGACCTGAGGTTGGTTCTCAGTGTCGCCATCTTTCGACAGCCGATAAGCCCAGCTTTGGGGGATCTGACACCCTCTCCTGGCAGGGGTACATATGCAAACATACCACCCCAAGCACCTGCGTACATAATTGAAAATAAAGCCCTGCCCCTTTTTCAAACAGAGTCTCGTTACACAGCCCTAACCAGACTGGAAGTCGCTGTGTAGACCAGGCTAGCCTTGACTCACGGAGATCCCACCTGCCCTGTTTTCTGAGATTAAAAGCATGTGCCACCATAACCATCAAAAAATAAAGTCTTTAAAGGAATTTCTTTTCTCTCTCTTTGACAGTCCTCTCTTCTCAAATTAAAGCTCCTGGTCTGGGAAGATCATCATGTGCCTATAAAGCACCAAAACAAGGACATGGTTGGGAGGTGGAGAGATGGCTCAGCAGCTGAGAGCATCCATTGCTCTTCCAAAGGACCACAGTTCAGTTCCCAGCACCCATCTGGTAGCTCACAACTGTTTGTAACTCAAGCTCCACTTGACCTGAGGCCTTCTTCTACCCTCCACGGGCACTGCTTGTGTGTAGTGCACATACATACACGCAGGTAAGACACCCGCACACATAAAATAAAATAAATAAAAAATACTGAGTAGATTAAATATTCACCATATATACACTATGAATTTGTCAGTGAAGAAGGTGACAAATAAGACTTTAGACATGTCAAAAAGCTTAAGTAAAACATGTTAAAATATAAAACTGGGTTTTCTGTAAAGAAGTTAAAGCAGTCTACATGTGTGCACGCTAAGGGAAATTAAAATCTACCAGAAGCCACCCCTGATATTTTGAAGTATAGACTACTGTGTTTACTGCTAAACCAAGGGGTCGTTCTTAACACCTTAAAGCAGTAAACAAACACACTCTTGTCAGTAACGGCCAATTAACTCCTAGGAAAGGAGTTTCCTAGGACTGTGTGTGTGTGTGTGTGTGTGTGTGTGTGTGTGTGTGTGTGTGACACACATATCTAGAGGCCAGAGGACAACCTTTGGGTGTCATTCCTTCTCACCATCTTTTACCTTATTTTCTGAGACCTGGGACTTACATGCCAATCAGCCTGGCAACCACTGCTGCTTGACAAAGTTCCAGCATGTTGACATCAGGAGTCACAATTCTCCAGCATCCTTTCACTTTCAGCTTCGATGATTTTCATTCTGTGTTACGGGAGTTCCCTTATGCTTTTTTGCTTGGGGGAATTTTGTTTGGACTTGGGTAGAGGCTGTGAACGCATACCGTGGCAGCCTCTCTAAACAAAGTAACTCTTTGGAAAAGCCTGCATCGCCATGGAACCATATAGTGTGATAACTCTGCCTACTCCAACACAAGAATCCTGCTTGCACCGAGAATAGAGAAGTTAAAGATTTACTAACTGAAAGACGGTGCCAGAAACTCTTGGGTACACCTGGTCCCAAGGATAAAAGCACAAATAGAGAAAAACAGTGAACGCAGACCCAGCTGAGACCATGCAGAAGGAAACGTAAGGGTTCCTGGTGAGGTCGCTGAACCTTCCGGAACAATAGGGGCTTAGATGCTTGCTGAACTGACTGCTCTTGCTTCAAAGAAAAATACTGTAATGAAGCTGATGGCCTCTTTCATTCTAAATGTTAAAAACCTGGGTAAAAACAGGTTCAAAACAATCTGTGAAAAGATCACACATCTCTTGGGATCCGATTTCAACATTACCTGTGGAAATGCTACTATGCTACTATGGAAATATAGAATATAAAAGTTGTAACCTTTTTCAATAAACCCACGAGCTTAACACCCTAGCACCTGATTTAGTCTCCTTCCCTTGCCGACTCCACACATCCTCTTTGGGACTTGAAAAACCCCTCAACCTCCCACCCCCACCCGGAGCTGGACTCAGGGATCCCCGGGTCTCCCAGTGCCAGCACTACAAGTGCCTGCATCACCACATGTGGCTCTTTCTTGACTAGAGCTTGACCTCAGGGCCGAATGTTTTACTAACTGAGCTATTTCTCCATCCTCAGGAGAAGGACATTTTTAAAACCTGCTCTTGAGGTGAGCAGAGGAGTCTTTCTGCTGAGTCGGGGATGACAGACTGTCAGGGTAGCTCCCAAATCAACTTTGCACCTTCATCTAACATTAGGGAAAGGCTCGCTTCTCCTTTTCTTCTGAGAGGACTGAGGGCCTAAGTTATCCTGATTAACTGCTTGGAAGTTCTTCCTGACACTCCCCTACCTGCCCTCCTCTAGGTGAAGTATTCAGCTCTCCACAGGAGATGAGCAGCCAAGCCCTCCTCCCTGCCATTGCTCAGCTGCTGGTCTGTGGAAGGCCAGGGGCCTGTGCCTGCTCGGGAGTTGTCATACCTCTTTCCAGTCTCTCCTCTGCTCCCAACTGGGCAGTTTCAGCCTGGAGGAGTTCAAGAGGAAATACCAGACTGACTAGATTCTGGGCCTGAGCCGGATGGACAAAGCCAAGGTGCCTCCTGGGTGACACCCAGTAACTTAACTGTCCTTTACTGCCTGTTCCTCTCTCTTATAGAGTCTTTTCTTTTGGTTCCTAGTTTCCTTACCATTTAGGAGTGTTTTATTTTGTTTATTTTTGAGATGGTTTTATGTAGCACAGGCTATCCACACCTTACCATGTGGCCAAGGCTGGCCTTGAATTCTCCTTCTGTTTCTACCTCTCAGTACCAGGATTAAAGGAAAGGACTCCCATGCCTGCCTCTAATCTGGAAGTATTAACTTAATCCAGATTTATTTCCATTTTAGGAAGAGTGTAGAGAAAACAATATTGAACTTCCCATTCTGGAAAGGATGAACTATCGAAGTTTTTTTGTTGTTTGGTTTTGCTTTTTGTTTTTGAGGCAAGGTCTTATATAGCCCAATTTTGCCTAAGACTTTTTCTAATCAAGGATGTCTTGAGCTCTTTCCTCTTCCTGAGTGCTGGGATTACAGGCATGTGCCCCTGTGTATGTGGATTTATGCAGCACTGGGGCTTGAACCCAGAGTTTCATGAATGCCAGACAAACATTATAGCAATACCCTAGGCCTGGACCTAGGGACCTAGGGTACAGGACCCTGTTGGGATAGATATAATTTCTAGGAATTGTTTATATGAAGACGGTCCTTGACTTTGCCTGTCTGTAAATTTAATTTGAAAATGCCACATACTGGGGGTAGCTTACAACTATTTCCAAGCCCAGCTCCAGGGGTGGGGGGGCGGGAATCTAATGTCTTCTTTTGGCCTCTGAGGGCACCTGCACAGATATACACTCCTCCTTCCCCATTTAGATAATTAAACATAAATCTAAAAATAAGAAAAGTGCCACATGTTGAGAGAAGCAGCTGAGATTTGCTTCTTCAGGGGAACCCTGGGCTGGGAGTGCAGTCTAGTGGTAGAGTATTTGCCGGCAGGAAGCCCTGGATTCTGTCTCCAGCACGGCAGGGGGTAAGGAAGGACAGCATGGGACCTTGTCCTTTTGTCCTTTCCCTCCTCCCCGGCTTCCTGCCCACTTCTTTCCCAAAACATCACAACTTTCTTTTGCCCACTTGTGGATTAGCTGCCTGCGAGTCTGATGTTTGGGCTGGACTCTCACCTTTGCAGAGGCTCTTTCTGGTCTATCGCAGTTCAGGAATGCAGGTGCACCACATTAAAGTCCAAAGGTTACACTGACATTACCCTGAGTAAAAAGAATGGAATCCTTAGAAATAAAACGAAACAAACAAACAAAAGCATACAACAAAAACCCCTAGAAAGTGGTGGCGGCAAATGCGTATAATCCCAATATTTGGGAGGTGGAGGCAGAAGGGTCAAAGTTCAAGGTTATTTGTATCTACATAGCAAGGTCAAGACCAGCCTGGGCCACAGAGACCCTGCATCAGAAAGAAAAAAACCTAACCAACCAACCTAATTTTGTACTCCTAGCACTACTAGAGTTTTAAAGTTTGTCTTATTTTTAAATATTTTATTTATTTGAAAAATAAAAAAATAATAATTAAAAAAGAAAGAAGGAAATGGATGACGGTGATATTCTCAAATAGCTTACTTGCCCCTGACTGTTTTGAATATTAATAGTATCTTTAATTGGTCAGAATGAATGTGTCTTTCAAAATATATTACTATTGTGATAGAAAGGCAGGAAAGAATTATAAAACAAAACAAAATCTTTTTCTAGAAGGAATGAAGCCTGCATTAAGGTGCAACCAATTGTCAGGTCCAAAAGAAACCTGGAGGAAAATGGCTAATTGCGTTGCCTTAGCTGTATGCCAGCTCAGGCTGGCCTCCAGGCTCACTCGGCGCCTGTGGCTCCTCTCAGCTGTTCCCCTCTCACCCTCACCCTAACCTTCTCTTGCTCATGGCTCACTTCCTCCAGCTTCTCCGACCCTTGTAACACTGCCATTTGGCCATGCTCTCTCTTGGCTTTCTCTTCTCATTGTTCTTTCTCTTCCTCTCCCCCATCTCTCTCCTCTCATGGACTGGTCTATTTTACTGGCCGTCTTTAGTCCACTATTTTCTCTCCCTGTTCTGGACTCTTCCAGATGCCTCTGGCTGTACTCTCCCACATATAATA